CCCCCCCCTCCCCCATCCACTCGCCCCCCTCTGACCATCCCGGATCCCCCCAGCCAAGCGGCAAACAAGCCCCCCAAAAGTCCCCACAATTGGGACAGAAAAACGACGGTTTGACAATGGTCCCCGAACTGGGCATAAAAGCCCTGCCCGGCAGCGCCCTCCCGACCCCCCAGCTCCCCGCCCGCGGCCCTTCCCAGGCGCTCCCACCCCCGCCAGCTCCTCTGCCTCTGAACCGGGGGGGCGCCCCCACATCCACGGGCAGCCCTCCCAGGGTGCCCCATTCCTGCAGCCCCCACCCCACATCCCTCCTGTCCCCACTGACCTCCTCCAGCACGCGGGCCTGCAGCACCTCCCCGAAATCCAGCTTCATCCTGGGAGGGGCGGAAGGAGACCCTGTGAGTGCCCATCTGCTCCGAGGGGAGGTGGGATCCAGCCCCGTGGCTTTAGCCCTCGTGCTCTGCCCTGCGTGGACCCGGCCTGGCGCCCCCAACCCGCCTCTCTTACCTGCCCAGGAAGTCGTCCTGGTCGGGGTCCTTGTCAAACAGCTCCACCTCCAGCTCCTGCCCCGGCACCTCATGCACCACAAACTGGGGGGCCAGAAGAAGCAAAGGGGTCAGTCCATGGGGAGGCACCAACCCCAGACCTACGTGCCCCCCGCACAGGGCTCCGTCTGGCTCTAGCATCCAGCTAGCGTGGGCTGCGACGCCCAGGACTCCGTCTGGCTCTAACGCCAGGTTAGCTTGGGCTGCGATGCCTGGGCTCCGTCTGGCTCTAGTGCCCTGTTAGCTTGGGCTGCAACGCCCAGGACTCTGTCTGGCTCTAGCGCCAGGTTAGCTTGGGCTGCGATGCCTGGGCTCCGTCTGGCTCTAGCACCCAGCTAGCTTGGGCTGCGACGCCCAGGACTCTGTCTGGCTCTAGCGCCAGGTTAGCTTGGGCTGCGATGCCTGGGCTCCGTCTGGCTCTAGCACCCAGCTAGCTTGGGCTGCGACGCCCAGGACTCTGTCTGGCTCTAGCGCCAGGTTAGCTTGGGCTGCGATGCCTGGGCTCCGTCTGGCTCTAGCGCCCAGCTAGCTTGGGCTGCGACGCCCAGGACTCCGGGTTCCTCCCGCAGGCCAGCTGAGGGGCTCGCTCACCTCATACGTCTCGTTCCATACGGGGTTGAGGTTCTCGTCGATGACCTTGCTGGTGAAGACCTGGGTGCCCACGCGGGCCAGGGCGTAGGGGTCCGACTTCCCCTCGATCAGCCCCTTTACGTACTTGTCCTTGGACTGCAGGTTCTTGGCCTCCAGCAGGTGGACGCGGACGATACCCTGTGGGGCAGGGGGGGAGACTCAGCCCCCCTTTCTCCCTCCCGGCACCGGCCTTACCCTGGGCAGCGGGGAGCGGAGCTGAGCAGCCTCGTGCAGGTTGGGCACCAGGGGCACCAGCAGGCGGTTGGGCAGCACCAGGAAGGCCGCGATGGAGTCCATGATCATCGTGTCCGACAGGGAGCTGGGGGGGATGGGCAGTGCTCTCTGCCTTGGTGGGGGGGACCAGCCCCAGCGCCCCCATCCCATAAACGTGGGGGATGGGCCCAGGAGGGCG